TTCAGGCTTTTCTTTTTCCTTCTCTCTCTCTCTCTCTCTCTCTCTCTCTCTCTCTCTCTCTCTCTCTCTCTCTCTCTCTCTCTCTCTCTTTCTCTCTCTCTTTTCTGTTTTATTTTTCTCTTTTCTGTTATATTGTTGTCTCTTGTGTGTTTTCTTTCCATCTTTTCTCCCCTTCTTTCTTTCTATATCTCTCTTTTTCTGTTCTGTCTGTCTCTATCCTCTCTCACTCGCTCAGAAGCGTAAGTGACTTTCACTCCAGACAACGTAAACAAGCTACTTTAAAGACAGATTTAAGATTTTTTTGTTGGTAAGTCAGAAATCTCTGTTACAGTGAATAATTCAGGTACTAATATACAGTCAAATCTGCCCTGGCGGCCACCTCTATAAGACGGCCACCTGTACAAACGGCCACTTTCCATCTCCCCCCTTGCGTTTTTTCTATATAATTTAACTGTGTAAAACGGGCACCTGTCCAACGCAGCCGCGGCCACCATATTTTACCACATAACCCCTATCACACCAAGCAATAACACGTGTCTTAGACGGCCACCTTAGTGACTCCATTACATTTTGTCATAAATTGTGCATTGGCCCATGGCGTTGTAGGCGAGCCGTCATAATTCAATCGCCTGTCGTTTTTGTTAGGTAGTCCCTCCAACCGATCACAGTTGCGTAGGCCCCTCCCACTGTTGACCAATAGCTACCAATTTTCAGCTGCTGGTGAGGTAAGCGTGTGATCCCTCAAAACCCATAAACCCCGCCCAGAACTAATACACAAATCGTAAGTGAGATGAATGGTCACTGTTTACCCAGTCTGTAACAAAGTAACAATAGGACGTCAACATGAACTTGTGACAGAAGCTTCGCTCGTTCTCCGAGTGGTGGCGACCCATGTGTTTGTTTTAACATTGCACTCGGTCTTCCTCGTCTGAGACATTTCGTTTTATTGACACCCTTGTGCAAAACCAGCAAGAAAATAAAAATTACAAATAAAATACAAACCACCACCACCAACTACAAAAACAGCAACAATGGGGCTACTTTCGATTGGGACCTCAGATGGGAATGGGTCATTTTCTTCATCTTGATCAGTCCTGCCTAAGATGGCCACCTGTCTTATACGGACACTTTTCTTCTTGACAATGGGTGGCCGTTTTACACAGGTTTGACTTATTTTACCCCTTTCTTTGTCTTAATTTAGCCCTTTTAACAATTTGTTTTGGCACTTTTTTGTTCATTTTGGCCCCCTTTTGTATACCAATCACAGTGACCTTAGGGGACAGACTGGAGGACTCGCCAGTGGAGATCCCCATTGCGGATGACATCACTGACGTTGCCAGCACTGAGGCAGGGGGAGACGACACTCTCGGACCAGGACCTCTCGTAGCTACACAGACCTCTATAGAGGGCGCTGTGGATGGGGGACTGGAGGTGCCGATGGATCAGACAGTGGAGAGTCAGTCGGTGACGATGGGCCCCACGGAGAGAGATCCTGATGGCCGACGACCGGGTACGGCACCCAATCTCTTGGCTCACAATGACGACACACTTATTGTGCCGCATGATTTTAACACAGCCATGCATGAGGTGAGTTACACGTGATATAGAGTTAGGTAGTCATAATGACACCTGACTTAGTCGCACTCAGTGACATAGAAAGTTTACACAGCCATGACATGACGTGATTTATAGCATACATATAGACACATGACTTTTCTAACACATAGTGACATACGACTTTAACACACATAGCAGTGCATAATTGTAATGCATTTTGCAACATATAACCTAAACACACATAGGGACATATGACTTTAACACTGTCATGCATGATGTGAATAACCCACATAGTGACACATGAATTTAACACAGTTATGCATGCCATGAATAACATAGATAGTGAAACATGGCTTTATCGCTTGATATAAATAACACATAGTGACACATGCGTTCAGCACACACAGCAACATTTGATTTAAATTTACATAACCATGCTTGAGGTGAGTTAAAAACACACACATGATGAGTTATGAACACAGTCAGCATCATGCAACTGTAAGGCAGCCTTGCATGAGGTGAGGTAAAACATACACGAAGCGACACATGAATCTAGCCCGGTTATGCATGAGATAAAACAGATGCTTGGCAAAGCATGGCGTGGTCACTTGGCTTTTTTTTAGGTCAGCGTATTGTATTTGCATTTTTTTTTCTCCTCTCAGCATATTCCTTTGTATTGCTCAAGCCCTTGCTTCCTTTTTTCTTCTATATCCTTTCAGATCTCGGAGCAGCGACGTCTTCTTGAGCGGGCGAAAAAGCAGATTCGTGTGCAGGATGCTTTTGAGGAGCTGGAGAAGATGGAGGCAGAGGAGGAAGTAGGTGTTGGTTTTGATAAAGATTGTGTATGATCCTGACAGAGTGTTACTTTTTTTTATTTTGTGGGTTATCTTTATTCTCAGCTCATATGTTGTTTGTGGAGAGTCAGTCTTCTCGCTCTCTTGACGCTCAAGTGTATGTGCCTGTAGGGGGATGAATGACTATGTTGTCGGCAAGATTTTAAATTGTACTGAGCCCAAAATTTTTCTTTTCTTTTTTATTGGAGTTTCTAAATCTGTGTTATTGATTGCATGTGCTCAAGAAAATTTTTGTCGAAATTCAAATTCTAAATGTTTGACAAAAAGCAAGAAAAAATACCTGTTATAGGTAGGATTGTGAAAAACAGAAAAAGTAGAGTATTTGTGTGGTATTGTGGTGAAGTCAGGGGCTTGTCAAATTAATTAAATCAAAGTAACTAACATTTTTCCTCCTGTTGAGCAATTTCTACTGATTTTTGTTTGTTTTGGGCTCAACACCTTTTATGTCCATTTAAAAACACATTCCTCCGTGGATTTTACTGAAAGCGTTAGACAAAGGTATAAAAAAATTTACTTTGCATTTTCCAAGGACACTACAGCTTTAGGAGTCACTAAAATCTAACAGCCATTTTCTCGCTAATTTTACCTCTGATACCAGGCAATCCCCACTTCTCCAGTTGCAAATATCTTGACTTTTATTCTTGATTGATAATTATTTTTCTTATTAAAAGCAAAGCAAATGAACAGGTTCTTAGATTATACAAATAAGTCCATATGTCGAAAAACTGATGAGCAATTTTTGATCTTATCCAGAATGTGGTTCAACTTCCTGCCACAGAAGAGTATGATTCTCTCACCATCTCCCACACTCCGAAACCAGGTGAGATGCTCAGTATTTCTTTTTCATATACAGTCGGACCTGGTTATCATCCACCTGTCCAAGACAATCACCCGTACAAACAACTACTTCCTCACCCCCCCCCTGTATTTTTTTTATAACAACATTATCCAAGATAACCACTTGTCTAAATAATCAGTTTTCTCTTTGACAATGAATGGCTATCTTGGACACTTTTGACTGTAATTCATTTTCCCATTTTACTGTAAAAATTCTCTGTACAGTAGATGGTTGGAAGGTGCCTTTCGTAGGTCCTTCTTCCTTTCGTTTCCTCTGTTGTTTCTATCTGTGTGTCTTGCCATTCAACCCCATTTAATGGCCATAATGCCAATGTGCTGCTCTTTATTCAAAGTCAGCTAAAACATAATCACTCATTACACATTAAATGTTGTAATTGTCAGGATTCTCATTCTTGATTATTTTTATTCTTTTTAAGAATTAATATTGATATCTCAGCGACCACTGTGTCTTTATTTTGAAACATCATAACCTACATCAAAACATGAAAAATGTAACAATGGGACAAGTTAGTGTATGCTTGGAAGATTACAAATGTTTTATATCCTGTATTGACACACTTTAGGTCTTTAAGAAGTTTGGCTTTTCCACCCTGCTTGCCAAGGTTAACCCAAACAATATGGTATACAGCATCCAAGCGGAAATACAGAGATACACAACAGAATTATTTTTCTGTACGGGAATCAAATTCATGTCTTCTGCACGGAAAGGTGAACAGCCTAACTATTTAACCAAAGACACTGGTCAAGACAGCATGTCAGTTATAGTAGAAGGCACAGGTGTCAAATTCAAGACCCGCAGGCTGCATCCAGCCTTTGAGAGAATTCTACATAGTCCATCCTTTGAATGTCAGTAATGCAGAACATTATTTAAAGCATAAATGAACTTGTTGCCAAGAAAAGATGCCAAACACCCAACCCTGACCTGTTGGCTTAAGAGTAAAAATTTATATGACTTGAATTGTATTAAATTGTATATTCAGATTTGTCTGTTTTGATTTGTAATGGTAGTTCCGTTTTCCACTGCTCATTGAATGCTTATCTAGTTTGACTTGCAACTTTAAGTGTCATTTGAGCTTTGCCCCGTGAGTGATTGAGGTTGGCACCCCTGGTATAAGGGAAGAAGACTCTTCTTATAAACATGCTTGTGTTTTGTGCTCTCATTACAGTTGAAGATGAACTGACTCCAGCCGAGAAAGCTCTCATGGCTGGTCGCAACTATGTGATCTTGCCTAAGAAGTAAGTCATCCATGATAAGTGGTGGTCTACACATACCTTCTCATTGTTCAAAAGTAATTATAGACATAAGGAAACACACTGTCTCATCTCTTAAATTTGATGCTAATATATTTACTCATGTTGTGGGGTGTTTAACAATTTGTTTTTTTATAAGTAATTTTGGGGGGAAAACATTTAAATAATATTCTGAGACCAGTGTGTGTGTTGTAGAGGATGTTTTGCTTATGTCTACAGCCTTTTCCAAGAAGCTCCATAATTTTGAGAAAGTAGTTTTTTAACTTCACTGCTTTAAGATGTTCTTGTCTACAAAAATGTGCTGTAACCAATTATTTTTTGCTACCTCTGTTCAGCTTTTTCTAAAAAGCTTACTGATCTTAAATCGAATAACTAACTTTTTCTACTATTGTCCCAATTTTAGTTCAATCGGTTTTGCTATAAACCTTTCACTTTTCTTTTGTTGTTTTCTTTGCAGGAAAAAGAAAAAGCGGGGCCAGAGAACGATGGACTTGGCAAAAATTGAAGCAGCTGAGAAGATGCTAACGATGCGACCGCCAAACAAACTGGAGCGGCACGGCTCAATGCCCAAACTCAACAAAGTGGTGGAGAGGGAAATGAGAGTGCCATGGTGAACTTAAAACTTATATTTTAGTGTCATGTTAACATTTTTATATACCAGAAATAAATGATCTGAATACCTCTGGAATCTTTTTGTTATTGCCTTTTTACCAAGTTCTATGAAGTTGATATTGGATAGGTTTATTATTATTTTCTGATTGTACAACACATGTGGACACCAGTGCTTATGGCAAATGATATAGACTTTCAACCTTTTATATGGTGTCGATTTGATGGGAACAAGGAAAGAAAAGGGGATACTATTCCTTTTCTCGTTCATCTCTAAATGGACATCCCTCCAGGCCTCCATAGAGCTTCGGGTCTCCGTGCCTAGGGTTGGACCAATATCATTTTCTTCACTGCTTTGTTCAATCTACCAAAAAAAAACCCATTCATATATTGCCACTGTCCCTCGGATATTTGTGTCATTCTATCTTGCAATGTGCTTCTCTTTACTCTAGTAAATATAGAAATAAATGCAATTTTTCTTTGACTGTTGTGCAGGCAAGTTCGTTCTTACAGAGCCAGCATCCCCGACCTGCTTAACTTTGAGGAGTTCAAAACCAAGAAAAGAATGCCGTAAGTAAATTTGAGAGCTGGAGATGTTGAGTGTTATGTGTTTGAATGATATGTTTTTGTGGTTTTGTGGGGGGGTTTTTAGTAGAGGTTTTTCGGTGCTCGCAACTGCATAAGGTCATATGAGCGCCAAGGGGTGGATGTCAACAGAGAAGTCCCTACAGGGAATCAGACTTACAAAGCTCACCTCTCTAGCTTCAACAGCACAAGGTCTGCTTCGACTATCAAGGCACCCTGGAAATTGCGGGTCACAAGAGTGTTACGAACAAACAAAAGAAGTAGAGGAAAATGACGATAGTAAGGATTAGGAAAGAAAAAAGCAGCAGTTCCCTGTTGTAGTTCAGGTACAGTTATGAGAATGACACTGTTGGGTCAGCCCATTTACAATTCTACTGTGCATTAGAATGAGGAACTTCCCCCCTTTGGGAATTACCTAAAGACACTTCAGTCAGTTGCACCGCCCTGGGGGGTATGTTTATGTGTGTGGACCTATAGTATAGATTAGTTTTTGAAAATTTTCTTAATCCTTTTTGCAAAGAACGTGGTCAAAACTTTATGCTTGAGCATAACTTGAATAGATAAAACAATCACAAATTAGTTGCCATATGCTCAAAGTGTCTCTCTCTCTCTCTCTCTCTCTCTCTCTCTCTCTCTCTCTCTCTCTCTCTCTCTCTCTCTCTCTCTCTCTCTCTCTCTCTCTCTCTCTCTCTTTTCTCTCATTCACTCGCAAACACACGCACACACACACACACACACACACACACACACACACACACACACACACACACAGGGTCAACCCAAAACATGCACAAAGAAAGAAACAAACACATACTCATACAAACACACACACACACACACACACACACACACACACACATACACACACACATACACACACACACCCGGACGCACATACACACTCGCAATTATTCAATCCAAGTCACACCCACTCACACATGCTCTGTCACACATCCCAGGGATTAAACTCAATTGCTGTACTCTCACCCCCCCCCCCCCCCCCCAGTTCCGGTGAGGAAGATAGAGAGTGGGTACGAGGAATCTGGAACACCTGGTTTGACCAAGTCTTCCCTCCTACACCAGAAGATTCTGAGGCTGAGGAGGAGGAAGAGGAGGCAGGCCAGCGCACAGAGGAGAACAAAGATGAGAAGAAAAAAGGGTGTGGCAAACTTTCATTTATTCTCTTCCCACTGTGTTTTCATTGCATTTTTATCACTTGAGAAATCTTCGAAATATTTTTGGACTCTGAGTAGAAATTTCTTCAACTTATATATTTTGTTAAAAAGGTTCTGAGCTTTCATATCATTTCGCTTGAAAACTCCATCACTATTATATTATCTTGCAAGGAATTTCTGTTACTGTCATAATGTTTGCCATATTGTCTGTGCTCGTAATCTTAGTCTATGGTGTCTTCTGGCAAGAGGTAGTTTATTGGTTCTGTAATTTGTGTCAGCCTTTTATATCTATGGTGTGTTTTATTTCCTGTATAGCTTCCATTATCAGGAGATGTTCTATTGATTCTTTTATTGTGGTCTGCTTGTCTCATAATATAATGATGTACTAATGTAATAATAATAAATAGCATTTGTATTGCGCATGTCCTCACTTGAAAGCAAGCTCTATGCGCTTTACACTATATTATTACCCCAGCAGACCATAGAACACTCAGAAACATTCTCAGCTTCCCGGGAAGCATGCTTTGCAAGCAGCTGGTTAAGCGCTCAAACACTAACAAACTGGCAAGATCTTTCACTGTCTATAGCTGGGTACCTATTCCCACTTGGGTAAAGTGAGGAAAATTCATGTAAAGTGCCTTTCCCAAGGACACAATGTCGGGCCCGCAGCTCGAACCCCCGAACCCGCAACCTCACGATTACGAGTCCGGTAGCCTAACCACTAGGCCGACAACCTTTAAAATAAAAAGAAAAAAATCAACTCATTAACTTTGAATTTTTCATTGTCTTTTGTTTTCTAATTTACAGGAAGAAAGATCCTGTCTCCGACATTCTTTCTCAGGATATTGAGGCCATAGACCCTATTGCAGACACACCTGAGAATGCTGAGATTTATCAGGTAACTTTGATGTTGTGACAGTCAGTCTGGCACAGAAACTCTTAGGTTGTGAACATCAGTTTGGCTTTTCGTGCATCCTTGGACATTATGATCAATATTTATGGTGTAATGGCACCATGGTCAATGAATAGTAAGGTACTTTGCTATTGTATACAGAAGAAGTGAGTTTGATTCCCCTCGCAGAGAACTTTATTTTGCCAAGCACTTATGTTTTTATTTAGGGATAAAATGTCCTACTTAGCTTACCAGGTTGTCCATGACAGTCAGAGTTGAAGAGGTTAGCATTCTAAATTATCTAAATTGTATTAATGGAGCTGTAAAACATTTACCACTTATTGATTGGTCGTTGCAGGAGTAAAACATTTACTATACGTGTCAGGATGTGGTGGAAACAGGGGCTTGTGAGTTTTCGAGCCTGTGGGGTTTTTGGTTTCACCTTAAAGGTTTTTCAGTTGTCTTGCTTTTGATGAAGAAAACAATCATCCATCTTAAATAGTAGTGGAGATATTTGCTATTGATGGAGGTTGAGGTTGCCTGATTTCAGAGGTAAAATAAGCAAGAAAACGAGTTCCAAAGTTTAATTACTAACATAGTTATATAAAATTTACATTTTTGTGCCCTTAATCGTTTTTCAGTAAAAGTCCACACAGTGGTTTTTAATAGGTATATAAAGGATATTGAGTCTGAAAAAAAAAATGCGATTAAAATTGCCAAACGAGCGGGGAAATGCCTGTTTCTTCAATTTAATTATTTTTACGAGTGCATGATTTCCCTGTGATTCCTCAAATATATTAAATGGACATTGGGGGTGTAAAACATTGACTGTATATTAAGTGGACATAATGTGTTATTGTTTGAATATTGAGAAGATTTAGAGCTGTTGACAGGTCTTTCAATTAAGATTGTTACTATTCTTGAATATGGGGAAATGTTGCTGATTTTTACTAAAGTAAACTCAATATCTGTTTCTATTATACTAATATTGTTACCAATGGAGGCAGGGCATTCAAATCTAACTCCTCAAAGTGCTTCTGGATCTGATGTTATTTGCAAAAAACTGAATACATCCTGATTGTAGTTATTTCCTCTCTGTGGCAGGACAGTCTTGTAAAGCAGTTCCAAAAGATGTCTGTACTTTCTGTACTCCTAGCCTGTGATGATTTAAATTTAACTATGCTTTTTTTTTTTTGCTTCTTTTTGGTAAAGTAGAAACATGTTTATTTGTCCCCCCCCTGCTTTTATTGTTTTTTAAGATCTGTCCATTTTTCTTTATTTCTATTTTTGATTTTTTCCTTTTTATGTCTCCCCCCCACAAAAAAAAAATCAGTTTCCTTTCAAAATCAATTTCTCTGCATTCATTTCATGAATGCTGTTGTGTCCAGATTCTGTTGGAGGAGATAGAGAAACTGTCTCAAGTGATCAACACCATGTTCAATCCGACAGCCTTTGATTACTGCAGGCGTGGGGCTCTCTACAGAAAGGTAGGCACATTGCATCCCCACCTAACACCTAGTGCAGATGGACACGTAAGACAACTGTCCAAATTTAAGTGAAATTGATTACGATAAAGGAAAAAAATAAATGCTAATTCTACGAATCTCTTTGTTTTTTTCCCTTTTTGACTCGGTGGTTTATTCCCCTTTTGGACTTTTTATTTATGAGTCATTTGCTTTTTTTATGTGGACATCACAGTGACCACTGTGTAGGTTTAAGGTGTTATGGCCTGTGGTTGGTTCCTGTACAGGGAAGTCTTATTGTTTACTATCTCTGTCTGTCTGTCACAGCAGCCTGCCTCATAATTGGGAAGCTGGGCACGTAAAGAATTCTGAATGATACCACCCATCACAGAGTCCAATGACAGCTCTGAGAACAAACGCGAGTTTGTTTCTGCTACTATATGTTGTTTATTAGGACAATATCAATTTCGAACTGTCAAAATGACATAAAAACAAAATATAGAAGCTTGAAGTCTCTCGTAATGACTTGATGGGCTAGAGGAATAAACTTTCTGTAATGTGTCAGACTTATCTCTTAAGTTAGAACTTAACATGAGATTGGACATTTTAAGAAATGAAAACTTTGAGATAGGTGTTGATGAGTGTACATTTTTTTCAAACCAATAGAGTTCTCCTCCATTGTTTCTCAGATGTAAAATAAACTCGTGATGTTGTTTTATCACAACCCTCAAGATTTTATAATGTCAAAGTTCATGATCTAAGTTATAACTTTTCACCTTTCAGATCGGACAGCTGAAAAAAGCTGAAATGGACCTCGATATGTGAGTGTATTCTTGTGTCATAAACATTTTCAAATGATGATGTTGTGTGAAAGATTGAGTGCAAGTAGCTTGGTTGGAATTTGTGAGTAGTCCTTGCATTGTAGAATATTTGTGTGTGTGTGTGTGTAGGTGTGTGTGTGCGCTAGCGTTTGTGCATGTGTGTGCGCATGCGTTTATGAATGTTTGTGTTTGTGCATTTGTGTGTGTGTGTGTGTGTGTGTGTGTGTGTGTGTGTGTGCCTGTCTGAATGTAACAATACTAAATACTACAAATGCCCACTCAATGCCATCTGTGTCCATCCTTCGGTATTGCAGGGCCATCAGCCTAGAGCCGGACCTCCTAGATGCTTACTGGCATCGCCACCTGCTGTTCATCCTACAGGACAGGAAGGCAGCTGCGCTGGATGACCTCAATTATATCATGAAGAAGAACAAGAATCACTCAGGAGCATACAGATCCATGTACGACTTTTTTCCCTCACTTCTCCACATTTTCTGGTTTGGTTGATCAGTTGTAAATACTTTACACCCCTAATCAATATAATCTAAAGTTGTGGTCATGTCTGTAAGGGTCAACCCAATGCATTGTGGATCATTTAGGAGGCAGGTTACTTTGACCATGCCTCTTGTAGAGTTCAACCCAGCCAGAGTGAGAGTGGGATACAGTATCCCATTAGACAGACGCAGATACTCAATTAAATTACCTCCCCACTTAGGAATCCACACACATCATCAGTTTACAATAGCAAAAAAGCTATTACACCTCAGAGACTTATAGTTTCAATATGTAAATCACTTGAGATGTTTGATAGAGTCACTCACTCACTTGCCCTTTGACTTGTATTGTTGGGAGGAACTGAGACCAGAAGTTGTCAAGATTTTTCTTCATATCTCTCTGTAATCCTGTTGAGTAGATCTTTTGCCAGCAAACAAGTCCACTTTGGTTTTAATAGACGCTATACTGAAACTGCTACTTTATTATCTGGTCTGCCTCTTTGCCAAAGAATGGCAGTTTTGGCTTCTTGTATGATGGAGACAGGGCTGTTTGTATTCTTTTTGTTATCAAATATTTTTCTTTAATGAGAAACGACTTTTGCATTTTGACTGCTCAGTGTAAAAGTCCTCCATACGTCATTTTTCAAAATGGCATATAGAGGAGTCTTTCACAAAGCTGTCAATTTGGTTATTCAGTTTTTAAAAAGCAGGAGAGATGTAGAATTAAAACTACTTTATAAAGTGACACTTTCAGTTTTGTACATCTAAGTGTTTTTATAGTTTTGATTTTGAAAGTTTTGTTTGTGTAATTATGATAGTATGTGCTGTAGACGTACTCAATTATGAAGTGGGTGTGATTTAAGATTTTAATGCCTCTATCAACACGATTTAGATCATGCAGGAGGCTGGCTGCTTCAAGCCTACCTGTCAGGGCCAACTCAGACTGAAATAGACACAACATCCCAGTAGAAAGGTGGACATACTTGACAAAATCTTCTCCACTAGGGAATTAAACTCATGTCTTCCACATGTGATGCCAAAATGCCTGACCACTACACCACTGATACTGGTGAACTGGCTGTTACCTACTGACTTCTTGCAAAGACATATGAAGTTTCCTGAATGATTGGGTTTTTTTACTTTCTGCACTTTCGTATCAAAGATGATCTTTAAAAAAATTGTTCTGTGTCATTCTTATTAGGGCAGAGATCTACAAGAAGCAAGGGGATGTGACTATGGCCATCATCAACTACTCGTCAGCTATCAAGTTCAACCCGCTGGACCACGAGGCTCACTTCCAGAGGGCAGCGATGTACGAGGAGGTCAGGAAGTTTCCTTCATTTGCTTTGGGAATTTTATTAGGATGCTCTGAGAATGTTCTGAAGGGTTTTTGGACATTAAATGACCTACAGAGGGTCATTTATGTCTAGAAGTGTTAAGATAAGGGTTTGTATTTAGTTGGTGATTTGAAGAGAAACGTTTTCAAAAAGAAAGAAGCAGGGAAAAGGAATGTTTTGTTAAAGGTTTTAATTGTAGGTTACATTTACATTGTTTTTGTTTTGTTTGAGTATAGAGAAAAAGAGAAGCACCTCAAAACAATAACAGTCATTTTATGCTGAAAAAAAAGGAAGACAGACAGAGATGACAGAGGACAAGAAGAGAAGTTGGACCTACAATTGGCTCCCTCCTGTCACCTGTTCCACCTAATGATGTTGTGGTGGATGGTTGGGGGTGCCAGTGGTAGGTTCAATTTCTTTATACAATGTCCTCAGTTACTTTTATTTCTGTCTATCAGCCTTGCTTTTCCCAATGCCAAATGACCTTTATTGTGGAGATATGCCTCTCTTTGTCTTATGAATCAGCACAATCTAAACTGAACTAAACTAAATGTTTCCATGGCAGAGAGGCGAGATGTTGCTGGCCATGGAAGACTACACCAAGGCCATGAGGATCATGCCCTCCCGCACTGATGCCATCATGAAGCACGGCATGTACTACTTTGAAAATGAGTAAGTCACACACATTTGAGCTCTTTTTTCTATAATAAGTATGATATTAGTGTCAATTTGACACCCATTTTTTGTTACACCCACCTCAGTACAGTATAATCATAGTAATTGCTTAATTGCATTTATTAAGCACGTATCCATGCTCAACAGCTTGCTCAATGCACTTTACAACTAGTATACAGCTGTAGATCATTAATGAAAAATTCTTATTGGTTCTTACTGACATGATGCTTTTAAAACTATCGTTGTACATGTTTAATTTTCTGAGAATGTGTATTCTGGTTAATAGACGATGTTGAAGATGCACTGATCTGGAGAGGTTGTGGGATACGTAGATCTAGTTTACAACCCTCAGGAAAAAGCCCTATGTTATTAGTTTTATGAAGGACGTGTGCACTATGTCTCTTATCAGGGATGGGTAGTTTAAGGCAGTGTTGGTAGTTATATGTTATCTTTCCCTTTGTTGTTTGTCTGTCTGCTTTATTTTTCCCCTCCACTGAATCACTGGTATTGTATTGGTGTGCTTGCTTCTTTTCACTCAAATTAAAATGACCCCCCTCCCCTCCCCCCCTC